ACATGAAACAATCCAGAATCCCACACTCTGCAGAAAATCAACAGTTCTTAAATCAGTTATGCAAGTGTGTATATTTTGATCTGGATTTACAACTTGCTTGATATATCTTATGTGGCATTTGGAGGGGGGAAAATGTACTGTATTCTAATGTTTGTCCCAGAAGGAAGGTTAGACCAGCAGAGATTGAGGTGCAGTAGGCTGTGAGTTGGAGCATATGGTGAAGGACAGGAAGTTGTTATGTAATCATTTGTTTGCTGGTCTGGCTGATTAATATCCTCTAGTTTCCTCCTCTAGCCAGAGTTTAGTGGTGGTGCAAAGCTCTTCCTTGCTTGACATTCCTCAGGCCATGGATCTTCAGGTTCAAAAGCGTGGCAGGCTTGAGTCGTAGCACTATTTAGCAGAAACCACATGCATGCTTTGCACAATAATAAGAACTAGAAATGCACTTAGGGCTCAATAACAAAGTCACACGTTCTCAAGATTTCAGAGTCTGCACTAGAGACCACATTTCTTGTGTCACAGTGTGATGCAGCTCCCTGTGAGAGTTCTTTTTTTGTTTTTGTTTTTTGCTTCCTTAAAACTCTTTCTTTACCAATTCTGTAAATGAAATTTCATGCAGAAATTTGCAAGCACTAAATAAGCAATCCCAACTCAATGAAAAACCACCTAAGGAATATCTATGCTATATACTTGATTCGTTTTATATCAGTTAAACCACCATGGCTCTTCCCAAGAAATCTATGTAAGTGTCATGTGATAGAATACACATTCAAACATAAATTCAAATGCAATTTTATCACAGATGAAGAAGTTCATGCAAAATTGATGCAGAGCAGGAACTGTCTATCCCTGATGGCAACCTGGATAGGCTAGATAGATTTTAAGTTTATCAGCATCTGGAACACAGACAATCCTTCCTCTGGTATCAAACTATTTTGAGATACAGGAAGCAGGACAGACCCCCCCCCTCAATCCCTTACAGCTTTGGCAACTCCTAGATAAATACACCATAACATCTTTAGTATGTTGTTCAGTCTAGCCCTGACATTTTATGTTGAATGGCACAGTTCCTTCTGCTTTAATTCTTTGCTACACTGGACATTAAAACTTGAAGAAATAATACTAGTTTAGTGTGTTTAAGAGAGGAAAATATGGCTCCCTAACAATACAGCTTGCAATTTTATAAATCTTACTTGCTTATATGGCTCTGAAGAGTAAGCTCTGTCATATCTAAAGTAAACAGAAGCCACCATGGTCACAGCACACCAGCAATTCAAGCCTTAGCTGCACAATTCTGCAGGCCTGGTCTCTTTATATGTCTGGTGAAAGCCTACGTGGTTATAATGTAAATTCAGAAAATAGGTGACACCCTAGGAAAGACTAGGGTTGGGGAAGTTGGTTTACTCAATGGGGATGGACACCAAAAAGAGGTTGGTGTAAAAGATGCACCAACACCCACACAGTGAGTCCACTTTTCTTCAAAAAGGAAATCAAAAGAGAGGGGTTTCCTGCCAGATGTGGCAAATTACATAAAGGGGATGTTGCTTTCAGTATAGTTTGCTGATCCAGCAGTCCCACAACTTCCGTTTGCTCAAGTTCAACAGCTGAGATTGAGCCTCTTATCTGTAGCAGGGAGCTTCAGATAAACTATAAGCAGTTGTTGCCTCATTGCGCGCAGAGAATTTGTGTGGAAGATTGGTGGAGTATTATTTACTAACTCCAAGAACGTGGAAGGTTTCTGGTTTGCAGGGGGCATTTCCTTAGGTGCAATAAAAGTGGCTCATGCGCAATGTTCTTTCAGTGATTCTCAACTAGGGTTGCTCAGCTTGAGAAACCAGGCCTGGGGTTCAGCATCTGTCAGGGCTTCCAAGGACCACTGGGCTTCAGGAACCCACATACCTATCCGTTGCACATAGGACTACAGTGTTGTTATGATTCCACCCCAGTTCCCTTTGCTCTTCATCTTTCTCCTGACACTGCCACAATGGGGTGTGTGGTCTCATTAGCAAGAGTGTGCACAGGTCATCTTTGCAGGGCAGTCAGAAATATAACCATATACTCTGAAGTGGTGAAGGATTCCCACATATTCTCCCAGAGGAGCACAAGATGCTTTATAAAGCCGTACCCTTTCCTTAATAAATGCATGGTACCTGTGGAACTTGAAGCTGGTATCCAAAGGAGCACTAAGTCACTTGTTCAGTTAGGGCAAGGATATCTGCTTGTGCAACAGAACTTTCCTCTCCTTCCTTCCTTGTGCCCCCTAGGCTTTCCCCCAAACCTCTGAAGCAGATTTGGAGAGGATTCAGGGCATGCCTTGGGGGAGGTGGGGGAGGACAGGAGGGGAGAAGCTCCACTGCACTAACAAATTCTTGCACTGACACAACCCCTCAGGCTTATTAGGTTTCACCATGAAGTTGATCCCACACCTCCAAAGTTTTTATTCAAAGCCGTAAGGGCTAGAAGCCAACTTTAAGCAAAACATTGATGCTACAACATTCTGCATGTTTTCACAAAATTAAGGCATACACACAGGCATGCACATAAGATGCCCATGAAAAGCAGCCCCACAGCAATTTTCCACTGCAAACTGTTTTACCGAGTTGCTCTGGTCCTAAGCGTTACTGATTGCCTTTGACTCTGGAGAGAGCAGGACAGGACAGGACAGGAATCAGGTCACAGGGAAGGAGGGATGGAAGAAGATGGTCCTAAGAATGGAAGTCTGGATTGAGAAAGAGGAGGCTAAAAGGAGAGGGGAAGGGGAACTAGAAAAAAAGAGGAGGGGCAGAGGGATGAAGGGGTATACATGACCAAGAGTGCAGAGGTAAGGAAAGCTGAAGTTAATGAAATAATATAACCAGCCAACCCTTTGACCACAGACTTCTAGTTTTATCTGGAATTTAGTGCAGCAACAACATCAAGGCAAAGAAGGCTGTGTGCTTGTGTGGTCTCCAACGCATTACTAAGAATATGCTGGAGACAATGAGGAGGGATTGCCCCTTTTGATGAGCTGCATACATGATAGTTAAGATACTATTATAGTGAATGATGATGAGGTCCGTGAACTGCTGCGTATTCAAAGGGAGCATAAACTCCAAACTTTCTCTTTTGAACCTCATCTGACCTCCTGGGGCCTGCCAAGCTGGACTGGAAAGCAATGGAGAGCTGGCCCTTTAACAAGTTATTGCTGTGTCTGGCTAGGCCAGCCATTCCGTGCCCCCCCCCCCAAGAAAAAGAGAAAGGGAAAAAGAGAGCAAGCCTTTCCCATGGTATTTTGGACCCCCCCCCCGCCTTGCTCTCTGGCTCTGCCTACAACCTGGAGGAACCGAATCGTGTGGAAAATAGCAGCGTCTACCAAATTCTTTGATCTTCAGTTGTCGGCTGTAGGGATTATGTTACTATTTTGCCCGTTCCCAGCCCTTATTTACATGCTTAGGTTTTAGCAAATCATTTGTCCTCATTTAGGTATGTGGAAACCTCGTTGGAACCATAAGGAGAGTTCTAAATCTTAAAGAGAGTCAGCTGTGTGGGTGGAAATGAATCTCCCTGGCCAAGCATCCCCAACTCAACCCAGCCAGCGACTGCAGAGGCAGAAGAAAGAGCAGTTAATAGTCCATCAGTCGAGGCTTGCTCATTTTAGGAATTACCCCTAGAAGTGGAAAAGTAGTTGCATCTATCTATCCATCCACCCACCCATTTGTCTGTACAGTGGTGCCTCGCAAGACGAAATTAATCCGTTCCGTGAGAGTCTTCGTCTAGCGGTTTTTTCGTCTTGCGAAGCAAGCCCATTGACGGATTAGCGCTATTAGCGCTATTAGCGGTTTAGCGGCTATTAAAGGCTTAAAGGCTTAGGGGATTAGCTGCTAAAAGGCTATTAAAGGCTATTAAAGGCTTAGCAGATTAGATAAAGGGGGAGAAAAGCGAAAAAAAAATCTCAAGACTCGCAAGGTATTTTCGTCTTGCGAAGCAAGCCCATAGGGGAATTCGTCCTGCGAAGCAACTTCAAAACAGAAAACCCTTTCGTCTAGCGGTTTTTCAGTCTTGCGAGGCATTCGTCTTGCGGGGCACCACTGTATTGCCTATCATTTTCCTACCAAAAGCAGGTACTCAATTTACACTAATAAAATTAATGAAGAAATTAGATAATTTTTTAAAAAACTGATATCCATACATACTGAGAGTGACAGCTCAATCCTATATGTAAAGTATCTACCTGGAAGGAAATCCCATTGATTCCAATAAGGTTTCGCCCCAGGTGAGTGGGTGTAGCCTGACAGCCTGAGGTTCACTCATAATAGGCTGAAGTGTGTTTGATCAGAACCTATGCATACTACTTCAAGTACACAGATATTATACCTGGTGAAGGAGATTTCTATTCTGCTGGTGTGGTTTCATTTACCTGGGTTTCACTATCTTGGAAATCCGGATTTTGAAATCCTAAAAAATGCATGTAGGCATTGTGGGCATGGTAAGGGTATGAAGCTCAAAACAGGCAAGAGAACTGAAGGTGATGTGACTGAGCTATCCTCTCCTGTGCATAATGTTTATTTTTTTCTGTCTCAGTGCAATCTCTGCTCAAACAGGGTTTGCAGGCTTTTGTTATGCCTCAGAAACCTGAAAAAAGGTGTTTGAGCAGCTATGACAGCAACATGACGATGTATGTGATGGCTGCCGACCAGCCAGCATTTTCCTGGGCCAACAAGTGAGGCAGTGTTCTGTGAGGTAACCTGCATTAGGATTCAATAGGCTGGAGAATCAAGATTCCTACAGTATCCATCCATCAGCTGCCAGGCTTTGCTCAGGGAGTCCTGTACTTTTGAAAACAAGAGTTGGGAACTATAGAGAAGACCACAGGCAACAACGCCTAAGTCACACCAGCTTCAGCTCTGTTAAAAATGGTAAGGTGAGCATCATATCTAATTTGCCAATGGCTATTTGAAGCGTTGTTGTGACTAGGTAGCCGTGTTGGTCTGCTATAGTCGAAACAAAATTAAAAAATTCTTTCCAGTATCACCTTAGAGACCAACTAAGTTTGTTATTGGTATGAGGTTGCATACGAAAGCTCATACCAATAACAAACTTAGTTGGTCTCTAAGGTGCTACTGGAAGGATTTTTTTAATCTTGTTTTCGTTTGCAGTTTCTTTCCCAGTGATTTTTTGATCTGGGCTGAAAATGGTGGTAGACACTTTGTTCTGTTCTTTTGTCTTGTTTCGCACTAATTTTTGGCCTCTCATTTGGAGTAGCCCAGAGAGCTGTCTTCACCTAAGCTGCTCTAAGTAGGCCCAGTTAGATACCTGCTCTCACATGTCTGACTAGATTGACGTAGGGCCACAAAAGTGCTTGAGTTGCTGGACTTTGTGTTTCCTTCATGGGATGCACTCTGCAGGCAGGTGACAGCCAGACATCTCATGCCACTGTTCATTTGGCCTGGAATTTATTTATTTTACTTTGCTCCATGCAGCTGCTTCTCAGCTGGTAAAAATAGGCTGCTGCTAAATCTGCCTTGGCACCTCTCACTTTACTAAATAGAGGTAAAATGGGGACCTTGTGCTTGCAGATTAAAAGCATGCATGCACAAGAGCTTTGTAAACACACAAACCGACCAGGGAGAAGGCGGAGCTGAGTTTAAAAGAACTCATACAACCAATTGGAGTGCAAAGGCAGCTAGATGTTTCCCAACGGTTCTGATCATGGAAGTCAGTTGGACAGTTAAGTCATTTTAGATTCAGTAGTAATATTAATATTTTACAGCCAAAAATATTTACTTTTAGAATGTGTTAAGAACAACCTACCATCACAGGAGCCCACCCCTGTTATTTCAGCACAAGTCACTGTTGGCTGGCATAAACCCTGACTGGCAGGCAGGTCCAAATCTGTGCCTTTCACTTAGACTTCCTCTGTGCAAGGTCTTCACTTCTTTGTACAGCACAGTGATTGTATAAAAAGTCTTGGGAAACCCACACTAAAATTCTTCCCTTTGGTGGCCTTCGTCTGTTAGCTGCTTCTGTTACCGAAGGCAAAATTTCCTCCTCCCATACACACTGGGAACTCAGAGTCTCTGTGGCTGGGTCACTGAGCTTAGCATGATTCATCACCACTGCCTGATTGGAAAGAGGAGTGGTCATTAGCAGGGAGAAATGAAGTGGAGGGTTGCATCTCCCCATTAGTGATGACTTAGAAAATTTCAGCAGCCAAATTCTAGTTGGAGAGAAGCAGCAAGTTCATCTGTTGTTGGCGCATTTTGAACCTGGCTATTGGCCACTTGCAACCACATGAAGATGCCCAAGCACCAGGACGGTGCCCAATGTCTCCACTACCTGGATGTGCCATACTACTACTACTACTAATAGTATTTATACCCCGCCCATCTGGCTGGGTTTCCCCAGCCACTGTGGGCGGCTTCCAAAAAAATATTAAAATACAATTGTCTATTAAACATTAAAAGCTTCCCTAAACAGGGCTGCCTTCAGATGTCTTCTAAAAGTCTGGTAGTTGTTCTTCTCTTTGACATCTGGTGGGAGGGCGTTTCACAGGGTGGGTGCCACTACCAAGAAGGCCCTCTGCCTGGTTCCCTGTAACTTGGCTTCTCGCAGTGAGGGAACCACCAGAAGGCCCTCGGCACTGGACCTCAGTGTCTGGGCAGAACGGTGGGAGTGGAGACGCTCCTTCAGGTATACTGGAGCGATGCCTGGAGATCCTTGGATCTTCCTGTTTTCACACACTAACAACGCATCATGTAGAATTCTATCCATTATATTTTATGTGCGTAATCAGAATGAATTTTAGGAACCAAAAATCATATTGGAAAATACAACTTTTGAGATGGTGACTATAACCCTGGTTTCAGGGGCCATTTGACACCTAGCTTATGTATCTGAGTTTCTAAGACAGTTACAGGGAAAAAGGCTATTGTCTGCAAATGTCCTTGGTAGGAGTTCCATTTCCCCCCCATAATCTTGATTTGTTTCTAAATTTCAGTAGATTACTCAGTGCTTAACTCAAACGGTGACACCACCCAAGAGGGAGGTTGAGTTGGTTCTTATATATATCAAAACATTAATAGAGAAGTGTAAAATAAAACACAAGTGTACCCTTTTGTAATAAACGTGCCCTGGTTCCATTACCAATTTCAATGTCTGTTTTCTTATAAATTCAATCAAGGCGCGCAGAATAAAGCACAAATATTTTGATAATAAACAGAGAAACTCCTCTTAGTAACAGTTGGCCAGAAATTGCTTTCTTGTATTTGTTTTGGATGTGGCAATCCTTACTGAAAACTCTGTGCAGTCCGACAGCAATCTTATTTGGTGATTCAGAATGAGTGGTCCTATCTCCTGCCAAAATAATTAAATCGAACATTTTCAAGAGATGCATTAACTTGCTCTCCTGCTTTCTCCTTGGCATCATTTTCACTGAGTTTGGAAAAAGTTATCAAAACTGAGTATTTGGTCCAGAATTGGCTGTGAAACCTAATACGAGATCAAATAGTGCGGACAAGTTTCAGAACTGATCATTGTTTCTCAAGTGCTGAGCTAAGGTCATGAGAACATCAGCAAGTAAGTAAAACAAAGATCCATGAAGTTCAGCACTCCATCTCCAACAGTAGCTAGCCAGATACTCCTGGGAAGCTCATTAAATAGTTAAATAGCCAGGTTCTGGGAAACCTGGGATAATAGAAATCCTTGAGAAATCTCACTCTTCCCTCCATTATCAACTTATTATTTCCTTCTGCTTCCTATTTTTAACCTGCTACCAATCTGTAAGAAGATCTCTCCACTTATCACTACAATAGCTAAGTTCCTTCAGCAGCCTTTGGTGAGGATTTTGTCCAAATCCAAATACACATTGTTGATTGGTTCACCCCTGCATGGTTTGTTTGGTTGTTGTTTTTTTGACAAAAGACCATTGAGAAAAGGCTTCACTTTTCAGAAGCCATGCTGATTCCTGCTCAACAAGGCTTGCTCTTTTGTATTTTTAACCATGCTAGCCTTAATTTTGCTTCCCACCAATTTAACTAGAAGGCATTCTAATAATTGATCTGAAACTTCTCAGTCTCCTCTTGGTCCTTTATTATTATTTTTTAAGGGGTTACACTTCAACCATTGAAATGTGTGTTGATTTTAAGGTGTCTGATTGTATTGATGTTACATATTTTAGCTCAACAGTTTCACATTTGTATTCATTAAAAGCTCTTGGGTGAATGCCATCTGGCCTCGGTCACTTTTAAATTTATTTATTTATTACTGCTGGCCCTCGGATTCCCCCACAAGGGCTGAAACAAAGAAAAGATAACACATTTTGTTGTTGAGGTTTTGACCCAACCACCCTGGCTGTACCACTTCTATGATGTTGTGCCTTTTAAAACAAGTCTGTACATGTCAGCAGCTGATGCTGTGCTGGACCTTGGTAACAAGGGAATACATAACCATCAGATGCAAAATGCCACAGATTGTCTTGTATCATGCCCACTCAGTCATGCCCAGTTTGAAGTGTGGGGCAGAGATTCCCAAATGCCTGCTGCTTCACCTACTTTCCTTTAGTGGTTCCACAGGTTTCTTGCCAGATGCAACATAAACCTCTGAATGTGCCTGAAAGTTACCCAGATATAAGGGTTTGTTGGTTTGTTGGTTGGTTTTGGATTAGTTAACTGGTTCTGAGGTCCCCAGTAGATATGGTGATAAATCTGAATCTTGACTATTCTTCTTCTTCAGCCATCACTCGTAGCCGAGTAAGATTGTCTTCCATAAACAGAGTTTTAAAAATGAGTCTGTAAGTGACTGTGGAGGCCAATTCTGGATCCACACGTCCTTCCACAGTGGGGACATTGGTTTTCTGGGTGGGAGTTGACCAAGGTGTGGATTTGCCAAGCGTGCCTTCCTCTTAGCGCATTTCTCCCTTGCGTCCTGAGTTCGAATGTCTTCAAAGCCCATGACACCTTTGGTAAAGGCTGTTCTCCAACTGTAGTGCTCGCAGGCCAGTGCTTCCCAGTTGTCAGTGTTTATACTACATTTTTTAAAGATTTGCCTTGAGATAGTCTTTAAACCTCTTTTGTTGACCACCAGCATTACGCTTTTACTTTTTAAGTTCAGAATAGAGTAGTTGCTTTGGAAGACGATAATCAGGCATCCGCACAACATGACCAGTCCAATGAAGTGGATGTTCAAGAATCTTTGCTTCTTCCAGTACATATTAGTTCACCTGTCTTCCCGAGTGATGTGTAAACTTTTTCGGAGATCACTGTTGCTGGAATCTTTCGAGGAGCTGGAGATGGCGTTTATAAGTAGTCCATGTTTCACAAGCATATAGTATGGTTGGTAGTACAATAGCTTTGTAAACAAGCATTTTGGTTTCCCTGGGAATGTCCCAGTCCTCAAACACTCTGCACTTCAATCCAGAGAAAGCCGCATTCGCAGAGCTCAGGCGATGCTGGATTTCAGCGTCAATGTTGGCCCTTGTGGAAAGATAACTGCCTAGGTTGGGTTTTTGGAAGATGCCTGTGCATGAATTTGTTTTATGTGTGTAGATCAGTGCACGCTGACCAACGCACAGTCTTCGCAGTAGGGCTCTGTTCCGATGGCATGAAGTAGTCATGACAAACTGGTAGTTTCCTATCTGCTGCAGCCTTCATCCGCCTTCACAGCCGTTGTAACATACCGCTTGTTATCATCTGCCTTTTTTGCCGTTGAGGACTTCTTGGATCATTCTTTATCTACCTCCTTCCCTTTGACCTTACCACCTTGGGTGACCCTGCTGGGAGTACGAGATTCCTGACGGCTTCACTCACAAGAGTCATAGGAACTTGCAAGCCCACTCACCACGACAAGGTGATGATCCAGCGAGTGAGATCTTGACTTTACCACTTCAGCATGCAGGTGGAAGTCCACATAATGAGATGCAAAATCCCAGTACATATAAGGGAGAATGATTTCTGCCTTATTCATTCATTCATTCATTCATTCATTCATTCATTCAACCAACCAACCAACCAACCTGTAAATCTCCTAGGGGAGCATCTCACCCAGTGAAATGTGCTACTTCCAACTTATCAGGCCTTTGTGAGAACTAGACCTCAGAATAGTCTCTGCAGAGAGAAGCAAGTCCTGATC